TGGACTGGAACGCAGGAACTAATGTGCCTGCGTTCCGGGTGACGGTGATCGCACTGTGGGCGAGGGGCCTGCCTGTGATGCCTGGCTGCAGTGCTATTGACTTCAATGCACCGCCACGCCCCCTCCCGCCCCTGGACGCAGGTGTTTTTTCGTTAGTAGATCTCATTGAGCTCATCATATGAAAAGTAGATCTCCAGACGCAAAATTGTGGGCGCCCCTGATGTAGATTGTGTGAAGACTTCATCTTCAGCTTCCAATAGGTAAAATGACTCTCAGATCAAACTGGCATCATGAATCTCCGGGTATCATTTAGTCTCATCGTACCAGAAGATGTGACGTTCTGATAATTATCTAACATTTCTCCTCAAACTGCTCGCCGCATCCTCGTAGAAGCAAACTGACAAATCGGAACACTTCAGGCATTTAAAGCTCATATAGAGGACTTGGCTTCTCAACTTTGCTGGTCTACCGTTAATCATTTAGCTTCATCTTACCTCATGTTTTCCTGAATGTCTGCTAATTCTCCAGAACTTTTGGGCACACCCCATACTTTGTATGAACTGAAGACGTAAATCAGTACACTTCGTGTTTATTACTTACCTGTGCCGATGTCTAGAGTGGAATCCTTTTTACTTTTCTGAATCATCCCAACTTCCTCCATAGACTGCTGAGCTCCGCTCACAAACTTCTCTTCCTCTTCCTCTTCAACCTCAACTTTCATATCCATCAGGTCCTTACCCTAAACCCCAAAATGATAGAACACATGAAAAAGTAAGCTCTACGGGAACAGGAACGTCATCTCATTGAGTTTAAACTTACTTCTAGGTGTTGAGTTCCTCCTACCTGATCATGGTGGGGGATGGTGAGATCTTCCTGTGTGGAATCCCGGGAATACAGAAGAAGGGCCTGAGTGATCTCATGATGTTCTTGTGTGGAGTCCCAGGAATACAGGGGATGGGCCTGAGGGATTTCCTGATGTTCCTCCATGGAATCCCGGCAATACAGAGGACAGGCCTGAGGGATTTCCTGATGTTCCTCCATGGAATCCCGGCAATACAGAGGATGGGCCTGAGGGATCTCATGATGTTTCTCCATGGAATCCCAGCAATACAGAGGATGGGCCTGAGAGATCTCATGATGTTCCTCTATGGAATCCCGGCAATACAGAGGACAGGCCTGAGGGATTTCCTGATGTTCCTCCATGGAATCCCGGCAATACAGAGGATGGGCCTGAGGGATCTCATGATGTTTCTCCATGGAATCCCAGCAATACAGAGGATGGGCCTGAGAGATCTCATGATGTTCCTCTATGGAATCCCGGCAATACAGAGGACAGGCCTGAGGGATTTCCTGATGTTCCTCCATGGAATCCCGGCAATACAGAGGATGGGCCTGAGGGATCTCATGATGTTTCTCCATGGAATCCCAGCAATACAGAGGATGGGCCTGAGAGATCTCATGATGTTCCTCTATGGAATCCCGGCAATACAGAGGACAGGCCTGAGGGATTTCCTGATGTTCCTCCATGGAATCCCGGCAATACAGAGGATGGGCCTGAGGGATCTCATGATGTTTCTCCATGGAATCCCGGCAATACAGAGGATGGGCCTGAGAGATCTCATGATGTTCCTCTATGGAATCCCGGCAATACAGAGGACAGGCCTGAGGGATTTCCTGATGTTTCTCCATGGAATCCCAGCAATACAGAGGATGGGCCTGAGGGATCTCCTGATCTTCCTGTGTGGACTCCTGGCAATACAGAGGATAGGCCTGAGTGATCTCATGATGTTCCTGTGTGGAATCCCGGG